TCCTAGACTAAAATGTAAATCTGAGCTGTTTCAACTGAAGGAAACTTGCACTGACTGATATTAAAATATATCAGTGCCTTTGTTTTGTTTTAATATGCACACCAGTAATGCTTTTTTTCTAAGGCATGTTTATAAAAATTACTTAAATGTCCTAATTGAACTATGGCCTAATCCTAGCTTAGGCTAAGCCCTGTCTATGAAACCGGGCCTACATTTACCACTTTATTTATGAAAATATTAAGCAGTGAAAGTACTTCTGTGAACGTGCTGGATAATTTTGGGGGAAAATATTTTTTTCATTGAAGAACTTTCGCTGTTGAGTCAACATAACACGCATGCGTCGTGGTGCACCCCCTACTGGGTTGCAGGTCAATATTTTCGTAAATAAATTGGTAAATGTATTTTTTTTTGTGCAAACAAATCACTTGCATCGTTTCATAAAATTGAGGTTAAACCACTGGAGTCACGTGGTGTATTTAATGATTTTCTCGCTAGCATTCTGGATCTTGAATGTGGTAGCTGTGTTGCTCCCTATGGGGGGAGAAAATGCTCTTGGATTTAATAAAAAATAACTTCATTTGTTTTCAGAAGATGAACAAAGGACTTACAGGTGTGGAACGACATGAGGGTGAGTAATTAACAACAGAATTTTCCTTTTTGGGTGAACTATCCCTTTAAGGGTCATCTATATGACCGACATTATTTGCCTTTGAAACCATGAAAGTTTGTCTCACTGTTAACCTATTGAAGGTCTTCTTATTGAAATTAATTTATATTGAAATTAATTTGTTTACACTTTAGACATTCTGCTAACTATAAGTAACTTTGCATTAAACAGTTTTAATGCAGACCTTCCAGCCAATCAGAATCAAGTATTCAGACAGACCATGGGATAACTCTCCTTGATTTGTAGTTACATGTCAACTAATTCTCATTAGGTTAAGCTTAAAGCTAGTAGAGTAAGTATTAGTAGTTAGTATAAGTAGCATGTACACGTGTAAAGTTACTTATAGTCAGTAAAATGTCCATCAAAATAAAGTGTTAGCAGATATTAAGCAGACAGTCTACTAATACTCTAATGACTGCTAGTTGACATGGATTTGCAAAGTTACTGATAGTAGAATGTCTACTATCAGAATAAAGTGTTATCAGTGATTTTTTAATTAAACATTAACAATACACATACAAACCAGTGAAGACATAGTGTGAAACACATTATATATAAAGTATTTTATCTGTGAAAATACATGAACAAGATGCACAAAACCTAAGGATGCTAATAAATCAAGTTGACAGACCTGACTCTGTGGCCGGTTCTTTCATTTTGTCTATAGTGCTGAACGAGATGTCCAGATACTCCCTCTGGATGGCGCTGACGGCGATCTTCCTCTCTTTGCGCTGGCGTGGCACAATCTGGATCTTGAATTCAGCTTCATCGCTCTCATCATCAGGTTTGGGGTCGCTGTCTCTCTCATCCGTCTCGTCGTTGTCCTCGTCTCCTGCTCCTTCCCCGTTCAACGGATCCAGCGACTCGAGCTCGTCCGCAGGAATCTGGAGCACGACGGACCTGCTGGAGGGGCTCGTTCCGCCGCTATCCTTGGGCTGCATGCAGGAATCATCCAGGGATGCATTGGGCATGTGCGAGGTCTTTCTGAAGAGATCCCGTTTCTGTTTCAGGGTCATGGTGGCTTCCTGAGGAGCCGCGGAGTCTGGGAGCTCCAGAGACACCGGCAAAGAGACCGCAGGAGGCTCAAGCTTCTTGTTCTTAGTGCAGTCCTCTATGCTGACCTGCACGACCGGAGTAGAGTGTGCTGTGATGCTGATGGAGGCCACTGACGGATCCTCAGATTTGCTTAGCACTCCACCAGGGAGTTTGAGTGCCTCAAACAGGTCCTCGTTGCTTTCCACAATGCGCAGAGGAGGCAGCGGCTCGAACACCAGTGAGTCGCTGTCAGAGAGCGAGAGAATGGAGTGCTTCTCAGGGATGGAGGTGCAGTCGGAGGACAGGTCTATGAGATCTGGATCGTCCTTGTCAAGCGCAGGGGCGGCCAGCGGTGAGTCCAGACCGACGGGTTTATCTTCAAACGTCTCCATACAGCTGAGACGCACCTCGGGTATGATGGGCCGGATGCTGTCGTTCTGAGCGGCGGAGCCTCTTCGGTCGGTGACGGAGTGGCCGTTGGAGGAGTGTTTCCCGTGGTGCTGAGCTCTGTGCTGCTGTCGGCCGATAGAGGAGGAGGATGAGGGCTGTAGGGCCGGCGGTCCCTGCAGGTCGCAGCGGTCGATGCAAGACTTGCGTCTGTGCTCGTCCAGGTTGAAGAGGATGGAGTCGGTGTTGCTGATGTCCAGAGACTTCTGCTTGTGCATGGCTTGCAGCCTCTTCTTCTTGCTGTTGCTGTCCTCTCGGCCCGAGTACAGCAGCGTGTCCTGCAGCACGCCGCCTTCCTTATATTCGGCCAGCTCGATCTCACCTGTGCAGAACACAAGAGCAGAAGGTTAGTTGAGGAAAGCTTCGCGAGCGCACACGATATCCGTATGGACACGCACTTCTCTGAGTGTTGAGCTCCACAGGCTGATACTTGACCGACTTGCTGCCACCAATCCTCTTCAGACGGGCGAAGAAGGTCTGCGACTCTTTACTGCTCGCTCCCGTCGGAGTATCGTGGATGTCCGACTCGTCAAATACGCTGTCCTCCTCTACACAGGAAAACACAGGGCATTAAGCGACAGCACATCACTAACCGTTCCCGTGATGCCGAGCACGATCTGTACCTTTCTCCTTCTCGCTGTAGCGGCTGATGTTGGAGTTGTCGCTGTACAGCGGGCCTGCGGACACGTGCGACCTGCAGCTGTGGTACTGAGCGTTCAGCGTGTTGATGGTGATGTGGATCAGATGGAGCACCACCTCTTTACTCATGTCCATCTCTCTGTATGGATACTGAAACACAGCACGACACAGTGAAGAAGATGCCAAGATTCCTGAATTTCTGATTACTAAGACTACAGTTACTTGCAACAAGACTGTCTGTGGAACCAAAATGAAACCACAACTTTTTTACTGAAGTGCAACACTAAGCCAGTGTTAATGCTTTTAGATGAATAAGATTCATTTTCTTTGTGTTGTTTTTTTCACAGGAGAAATCCCTGTTTGCATTCAAGCGGAAGAGAAACCAATGGACAGTTGTTTGACATGGCATTGGGTATATCGTTTCCAGGAACTTTCTAGACCTTGAGGAAATCGATCCTGGTTGTGACCAGAACAAATATGCATTAAAATTAGTTGACTTGATGTCCTGTTGTTCTTTTGTGTGTCTGTAGGAGCGGCTTTAACAGAGAGCAACCATAATCACCTTATTCAAGTACCTGTATTTCATCACAGTAAAAACTATTTTAGTAATAAATAAATGAATAAATTATGTGATTAAAATGTAATGATAGATTTAACTCTCTTCAATTAACTATTACATTTAACTCTATTGTTTGGTTTATTTAAGTTTAAAGGGGTCATGAACTGAGAAATCAAAATTCCCTTGATCTTTTTACATATAAGAGGTCATTGTACTATAAAAAACATCCTGTAAGTTTCGGAACTCAAAACTTTCTTGTTAGTCCAAAAACAGCTTATATTGAAGACAGTCTGCCAAAACGACTGGTTGTGGAATGACTTGCCTTCCTTCTGATCCCAGCATTAGGAAAGAGGGGATGAAGTTTATTTTTAATGAAGATCCAGACCGCGTCAGTAAGAACATGGTCCTTTGTTCACTTAATTTCACCACAGATTCGTTTACAAACAAAGCAAAATTCAAGCAGGATTTTCTGAAAGAAGTGTGAGTAACTGTTTTTATTATGTGCTCACTATTGCTTTGTCTGTTATTAGAAAGTTTGATATGAACTGAGTATTTATGCGTTTTTAACCTAAAACACAGCAGCATCCATCTGTGAAGGATGTAGGCTGTCAAGCACAACTGTCAGCCAATCACAGCAGTGGGCGTTCACTTCAATCTACAATCCACCACGCCTATTCAAACAGTGTTCTGATGAGCGGGTCAAAACAGCACAGAAAATAGCCTATTACTTCTGAATTATGATGCTTTTTGATGTAAAAATCTTGATAACATAAGTGGACCTCAGAGAACAGTACAAAAAAAAAAAAAAGGCAGTTTATGACCCGTTTAATGTGTAGTCAGTGGCATAACTAGGATTGTACAGGTCCCAGTGCAAAAACACTTGATGGGCTCCCGCCATGAAAACATAACACTGATTTTGTGTTCATAGCTTTGACCTGGTCGTGGTCTCAAGACATCTTATGATGTTTTATTAACAAAGTTCAGGAGCAACATGTTCAGATAATCAATTTAATCAGAATGATAGTAAATATATATACAGTCAACGTACCTCTGAACCATGACAGTTTTTCTGGAATCCCTCCTCCACCCCAGCGCCGCACTCCTAACTATTCTTATCCCAGCTTGGGAATATGGGGAATTCTCTGGTTTCAGGCTCTACTCTGAGCTCGGAGGCTTCCCCTCAGACAGCACACCAAATATGCTTACAATTTGCTCAATCTGATTATATTTAAGTGCGAACTCGTGAATTCACTATCTACAACAAGCTCAGTGTCTTTGTTTTGTCTCTATAAGTCATACAATCCCTAAATGAATTTCACAACAGTGGTCATTCTGTTTATTTATTCTGAATATTCCCATTCGGTTTACAAAGCTATATGTGGGATTTTGATAGGTTGGGTTTCTCGTTTCCCTTTTCCTTTTTTTTTTCACTGTTGTAACAGGAAAGTGGAATTTGCAGATACTTCTAGTGCACTTGCACATTTCACATTACCAATAAATACCGTCAAACAAGATGGTGCCGCAGACGGCCGCCTCAGTGCTTGGCTCTCCAGTGTTTGTACTGTTTTTGTTAGTTTTTCCTGTTTTTTGTTTCTCAAACACGATCAGTTTTACCAGGGATGAACTGCTGAACATTCGGCAGAACACACCACAAAATCTTCTGCCAGTTTTCGATTATTTGGACGTTTTGCTGAACATTGTAGTTGGCAGAGCAGCGGCACTGATCAAACGCTTCAGGACTTGCAGACGGGGGAAGAGAGCCGGCGTGCTCGTGAAGCTCAGACAGCGCGGATTT